GAGCAGGACCTTGATGAGATGAACATCGAGATTATCCGCAACACACTCTACAAGGTAGTGCGCTGCGCTAGCGATGGGGGACGGCTGTCCGTGGGCCGGGCTGTGGGGTGATGTGGGATGGTGATTTATGTGAGGTGCTGGGACAGGATGCAGCTACACTAGGCTCCTTTCTCAGGGGCTTATCTGCTCACTCTCTGGCTCCAGCGATGGGTGCAAGGCTGCTTGGAACAGGTTCTCCGTCCTGCAGTGCCTGCAGCGGGCTCAGATAAGATCAGCAGGAGTGGCTGGCGCTCCACCGGTTGGCCTGTTAGAGCTGGGTCCTGGACTGCTACTCCCCCAACATCCAGGAGGGTAATGGGCCACCACCCAGGCCGTAGCCCTTGGGGCCACATTACCTGGGCTGTTGCCAGCAAGGACAGGCACTTGAGCAAAGGCAACAGTGTGCTCAGTTATGGTGGCAGGGACGTGACTGAGCCAGGCATAGCCAAATCCTCATATCCCTTTCAGGTTCCCACACTTGGAGCCAGTACCACTTCCCACCATCCTCATCCCCTACCCGCCTTCCACTTCCCACAGTAAGGGTCCTCTCCTGCCCTGCTTGGGGCTAGCTGGCTGACTGCAGCCTAAGCCCACGGCCTCCATTCTCCCAGTAAGGGCCCAGGCCAGAGTGCAATGAGGGTCTGGTGGCAGGTGAAGGGCCTGCCTTAGGTTGCAATGGTATAGGCAGGGGACCAGCACATGCAAAAGGAAAACACAGAACATGGGCCAAGTGGCAGAAGTTTGTCGCAAGAGTGACAGTTCCAGATGTTCCAAATGAACAGTAGGAGAGGGGTCTGGAAGAAGAGGCAGGCATAAGATCAAGTGACCCAGGACCTTGAATGGCAGGCTAGAAGATTGAACTTTATCCCGTGGGCAGGGTCAGCCAACAGAGGTTTCCAATAGAGCAGAGTTTGTGGAGAAGGCCCCCTCTGGCCATGATGTGGAGGGCGGATGAGAGGGGATGAAAACAGAGGTAGGAAGTTTGTCGACTTTATCCTCAGGACTGCCGTAGCAGCTAAGGTAGACATCATTATCCCCGTTTGTAAAATGAGGAAACTGAGGGCTCAGAGAAGTGGGGTGGGTTGCCCAAAGCTACGTAATAAGTCACTAACAGCACCAGGGAGCACACCTGGTTCAGCCTGTTTGCAAAAAGCAAGTGCTTTCAGCCACTGGCTAATAGGGAGCAGGCCAGCCAGTCAGCAGAGAGAGAGACAGAGAGAGAGAGAGAGTGTGTGTGTGTGTGTGCGCGCGCGCGCTTGCGTGTACACTAGTACTCCCGCCTGCCCAGCTGGCCCGTTGCCGGGTTCCCTGCCCTGAGACAGGGTGAGGGGTGGGGCTGCCCCCCCAGCCTCACCCACAGCCTCACCGGGCCTGACTGGTTCTAGCTGGAGTCACTGGCAAGGGCTGCCCAGGCACCAGCTCATAAACACCGACCCAATGCTGTGGGCCCCGTGCCAGGACCGCCCGCCCATCAGGCAATGTCCCAGCCCGGTGGCCACAGATGGGAGATTAGACGGACCCTCAGCCGCCCAGCGGGAGGGAACTGTAGGCAGCTGGTGCAGCAGCCGTGGGGTAGCAGACTCCAAGGGACAGGAAGGGGGTGGGAAGGTGACCTTGGTACCTGGGCCTCTGGGATCTTGCCAGTTTCTTTAGCTGCCTTAGCTTCCAGAGAAGAGTCTGGGCCTGTCCCACCAGCCTCCCTGACCCTGGGGTCGGCCTCTCCGGGGATTGGTACACTTGACTAAGCATATACGTAGGAGCCCAGGGCATGGAGCCCAAGACCTGGCTTGTGGCTTCCCCTGCAGATAGGAACCATAGGCCTCACCAGGGCAGGCCTCAGGATTTTGGCTCAGCCAGCTTGGCTAGCCACAGGGAACAGGTGGCCACAGACAGACTCCTAGAGGGACTGAAAGGCACCACCAAGCCCTGGGAAGCAGCTGTCTCTGCCACCCAGGCCCTCTGATTGCTGGGATCCTCTTTGCTGGGGTCTATCCTCCCTTTCAGGCTTCTTACTCCCTGACCTGTCCTAGACTTTTGTTCCCTGTGACCCCAGTGGTCACCCTCAGGCCTTCCCCTAAGCCCAGCTTGCCCACTGTTGCTGGCCAGGCCTGGCCTGGGCTCATGGACTCCTGGGTCCCATCTCTCTTGGAGCAGCAGAGCCTGTGAGCCCAAGTCAGCTGGTGGGAGATGAAAAGATCTTCACACCTCGGAGGTCAGAACTCAGCATGGAAAGTGTTCTATGCCTCCCAGCCCTCACTCCCCCCCTCAGAAGAATAGTCTGTAGCTTGTATAGCCAGTCTCTGGGATGGTGCCACCAGATGGGACCTAGGGGTCTGAGTGAAGGGTGCCCATTGCAAGGGAGCTCCCTCGGGGCCTGTAAGACCATCCACCTTCCTCAGCATGGAGAGGTGGCGGTGTGGGGAAGGAAGCCAGGCTGGTTTTGTGAGTGAGTGTTGGGAGGGACCTGGGGCCTAGGCTGACCCGTCCTCTCCTCATACCCAGCAGATCCAATTTTCCTGGGCAGGAAGTACTTGTTCCCACTGCCAGCCCACATGCCCAGCCATTGCACTGTGGAGCTGACGTCCATGTAGGCAATAACCATCCCTCAGCAGGAACTGGCCTGACAGTTTGGTTCCTGCCGTATGATGCCTAGGGGCTGCCTGGCAGGTGGGAGGAGGCGGTGTCCTGTAAGGTAGTCTAGAAAGAGGGCCAGGGGCATTCAGTCCAGGCCATCTCTGTGAACTCTCAGGAGTAAGCGTCCCTCCCCACCCCATGGACACCTGGCTTTCTAAGGCAGAAGAAGGGGAGTTTGGGGGAGATTAGGGGGAAAAGAAGGCAAAACAGCACGAGGAGGACCTCTGTCCAGGCCCCCTCTGAGCCTGGCCCTCTGTGGGATAAGTGAGTGGGGACACTGCACCCTGCAGTGGATGGTCAGCCAGACACTGCTCTGTCACTCCTGGGTGGGCAGCAGCAAGCAGCTGCCACTTGGCTGAGTAACAGTTGGAATTTGGGGTGTTTCAGGGCTGTGCCATAAGGGCTGCCCTGGCCAATCCATGGGTGTGCTGCTTGTCCCCACCGTGAAAGGGGCTGGGAAGGGGAGGAGGTCATATGTGATGGGGAGGCCTAGCAAGCCCCACTGAGTCTCCCTGCCTTGCTGAGCAAGCTCCATGCTCTACACAGGCCTACCTGGAGTCCTTCTACAAGTTCTGCACCCTACTGGGCGGGACCACAGCGGACGCCATGTGCCCCATCCTGGAGGTGAGTGCCTGCCCACCTTCCTGCCTGCTGGTGCTTGCCAGCCCTGGCCAGGGGAAGCCCTGCCAACTGACTGGCTACTGCCTCCCTCTTCCTCCTTCTCTCTTTGCCTGTGCACCGGCCCCACAGTTTGAAGCAGACCGCCGCGCCTTCATCATCACCATCAACTCTTTCGGCACAGAGCTATCCAAGGAGGACCGTGCCAAGCTCTTTCCCCACTGCGGGAGGCTCTACCCTGAGGGCCTGGCTCAGCTGGCTCGGGCTGATGACTATGAGCAGGTCAAGAACGTGGCTGATTACTACCCGGTGAGTGCCCTGGCTGGCAGGATAGTGGGTGGGCATGTTGGCACCATGCACCCCGACCCAGCACCCCACGGCACCCTCATGCTCATGCATCCCACCACTTCCCCGTCCAGGAGTACAAGCTGCTCTTCGAGGGTGCAGGCAGCAACCCCGGAGACAAGACCCTGGAGGACCGATTCTTTGAGCACGAGGTGAGTGCAGCGTTTTTGCAGGGCCTACCCGTCGAAGAGAGGAGTTGGTGGCTTGGGCCCAACTCTGTGGTTATGGCCACCAGTACATCATATTTGTGTCTGTCTGCAGGTGAAACTAAACAAGTTGGCCTTCCTGAACCAGTTCCACTTTGGTGTCTTCTACGCCTTTGTGAAGCTCAAGGAGCAGGAATGTCGCAACATTGTGTGGATTGCTGAGTGCATCGCCCAGCGCCACCGCGCCAAGATCGACAACTACATCCCTATCTTCTAGCGTTCTGGCCCAAGGCTCCCAAGTGCACTGTGTGTCTGTATGGTCTGTGATGAAGCTCATGGCTCATCTGCCTGCCCTGGGGATGGCACACTGTCCCAGTGACTGCCCAGTTTCCCTGACCCTCTCTGAGACTGCTCTTAGGCCTGAAAAGGGGCTGGGCACCTGCTCCCCCTACCAAGGCTGGACCAAGACCCACTCCAGAGTAAGGAGGCCCCCTGCGCCCTATGTTTACAGCCGCTGACGTGTCTGAGAAGCATGTGGTCACTTTCATGTCCCTCCCTAACCTGAGAACCCCTGGGGCCAGTGTGAGCCTCCTCTCCCCTCTGTGGGTCACTCCCAGAGCCATGGCCCATGGGAAGGATAGAGCCTGTGTGTCCTTGGGGCAGGCAGAAGTAGCTCTGCCCCTCTGAGACAATAAAGCTTCCCTCTCTAAACCTGGCTGTCTGCTGCCTCCTTTGGGCCCTAGTACCCCCCCAGACCCCTAACTTCCCTCATGACTCTGTGCTTGCCGAAGTCTTCTACCTCCCTCTCCTTCAGCAGCCCCGGTTCCTCAGGGTGGGGGTGGGGGGGTCACTGGGAGATAGCCTCTTCCCTCTGCTGGAGGCTCCGACACAGGCCTGGGGAGCTGGGTCCTGGCCCCAGAGGGCTCCCCGCCTCCCTAATTGCTTCATTGAGCCATACAACTTCCGGGGTTCAGGGTCATTACCCCCATTTCTCTATGAGAAACCCAGACCTAGGGATAAATGATTTGCCTGAGATTAATGGAGGGGAGGGGGAGGTGTGAACCACAGAGGGCACCAGAGGAGCCTGGTTAGGTCAGTGCCCAGCGCCCCCACCCCCGTGCTGAGCCCCAGGAGTTCCCAACCTCTGTCACAGAACCACACCCTGTCACCCAGCCAACCTGGCAGTTACCCCCTCCAAACACAGCATCTACCCCACCCTAGGAGAAATAAAACTTATCTTTATTTAAGAAGTGGCAATTGGGAAGTAGGGTATGCAGCTTCCTTGTGGCTTGAGGGGCTTGGGAGTGGGTAGTTGGGACCTGAATTCTTGAGCCAGTCAAGAGACAGTTGGGATTCACCCTTCAACTGCAGCACCGAGGCACTGGTGCCCAGGAACAATCCCGAGGAGTCCCCAACCCACCCAGTCAGTCAGTCTTTAGTTTGCAGAGGCACTGTCTGCAGGGGCCTGTCAAAGGCGACAGTAAAGTTTTGCACTAAACTCTCCACCAGCTGAGTTCTCCACGCTGCAGGGCAGAGTGTTATGCCCAGGAGGGTCTGTTTGGGCTCATGAAGCAGTGGACAGGCCCTGAGGCTCACTGGGTCTGGACTGGGCATCAGCAGTGGGGGACTGGGGTTCATTAGGCCAGACTCGAGGGCAGATGGGGGGTCATAATGCCCAGGGGAGGGCCAGGGGCTCCTGGAGCCTCCCGTGCTGGAGTGGCAGGGCCATATATGCACACGGCTCAGCGAGCCACCACTGGGGAAGAGCCTGGGCTTGGGTTTGGGCCCTGGGCAGAGGTAGGGCCAGGGTGGCCAGGCTGCAGGGCCCTAGGCAGACGGTGATTAATGAAGAAGGCCTGCAGGAAGCGGCGCCTCAGGCTCTCAGGCAGGTAGTAGTGGATGAAGTACATGAGCCCTAGGCCACGGCCTGGGAAATACCGGCGGCGCGGCTCAGCTGCCAGCAGCGCGTCTATGATGGCATCTACGACCGGGCTGAGGTCGGGCAGTGCCATGCTTAATGAATGTAGGAACTGCCTGTGCAAGTGCTCGATGTAGTCCTTGCCGTAGACTTGCAGCAGGTCTTGGGGCAGGTTGGCCAGCAGCAGTTCCTTGCGCTGCTCCCACTCATCCACGTTTGTCACAGACCCTGGGGAAGGAGTGGCAAGGTCAGAGCTGGGCCATGCCTCTAGTCAAAGCCACACCCCTAGCCAAAGCCATATGCCCATTCTTCAGCCCTGCCCCTCATTTCCCAACCAGGCCCCATGCCTGCCCCACCCCCAGCCCAGACCCCTACCTGTCTTGAAGCAGCCAGGCTGGACGACGCTGACCTTGACCCCCCAGGGAACAAGTTCACAGCTGAATGTGTCCATGAGCAGCACCACGGCCGCCTTGGAGGTCCCATAGGCCGCCAAGCATGGATAAGGCATGTCTCCTGGGGATAGGTTGGGTGTAGGGCAGCTCAGCTTTGGCAAGGGACTCCCAGAGCACTTCTCTGCCGAGCAGTGGCTCCTTTTCCCAATGGGGGAGGGGACTCACCTGCTGGGCTGCCCACAGTCACGATGCGACCCCTAGAGTGGCGCAGCAGTGGCAGGAGGCCCTTGGTCAGCTCCAGCACACCAAAGAAGTTCACTTCCATACAGGTGCGGAACATGGCCACTGGAGACAGCTCCACGTCAGCCACCACTTCGTTGTAACCTGCATTGTTGACCAGGCCCCACAGGCCTGGGGTCACATAGCAGGGGAGAGAAGCCTCAGGTCAGCCCAGCAGCAAAACTCCAGTCCCTGCCCCTTTCCACCCATCTGGCCGTGCCCTCCCCTGGTGGAACTCGTCACTGACCCGTGTTGGTGGTGTGGGCCTTGGTAAACTCCAGCACGCGGCTAATGTCTGCTGGCTTGGTCAGGTCCATCTGCAGTAGCTTTAGGCGAGCGGAACAGCAGGCACGCAGCTCTAGGGCACCGGGGCTATTCAACTCCAACACAGTGGCCAGCACCGTGAAGCCCATGGAGTCGAGTTTCTTGGCTGTCTCCTTGCCAAAACCAGAGTCACAACCTGGCCAGGCCAGGGCAGTCAGTGAACTCCCACCGTGGCCCAGTCCACCCTCAGACAACCCCAGAATTACCAGGGTCTGGATGGGATCCAGGCCCCTGGCCACCCAACCTACCAGCAGTAACAGCCCTAACTCCATCCCTTGGCCCATCTCTGCCTGGCTTTGCCCCGTACCTGAGCCCAGAACAGCAAATCTGTGATAGCTGTCATCTCCCTGGCTCACCATAGCTACCCCATCAAATACAGCTTATGATCCCCACTTTACAGAAGAGAAAACTGAGGCCTCGTAATGCCAAGGTGCTCGCCAAAGTCACCCAGCCAGTGCAGAGGAAGGTCAGGACTATCCCAGGCCAGCCTGAGATGGAGTCCCAGCGCCGATGTCCTGCCTGCTTGATGTCAGGCCAGAGCTCACAGCTATCAGTGTGCAGCCTCCCTTCCTTTTTGACTGGACACCGAAGCAGCCCCTCTCTAGCCCTGTCCCTTCTTGATTCCTCTGAATCCATTCTCCACCTAAGAGCCAGAAGGATCTTTCCAAAAATGACAATATTACTCTGCTGCTGCTGCAAACCTTTCCAAGGCTACCCACAGTCCTCAGGACGAAGCCCAGGCTCTCTGACACCATCCTGCAGGCCCTGTACAACCTGAGCCCCCTCCCTTCCTGGTCTCAACACACCCTGCTGTTGTTCCAGGCTGTAGGCAAGCTGAAGGCCCTCCCCACCTCGCCCCTCACCCTACACCCTTGGCATTCCAATCAGTGGCAACAGTGGGATGTTTTCTGAGCTCCAGACCACTTGCCCCCAAGACAGGGACCATGATGAATGGAGAAGACCTGCATTTGAATCCCTTCCCACACCCACCAAGGGTCATCTGAGGTCAGTTACCACTCCTGGAGGCTTAATTTCCTGTCTTTGGTTTGCAGAGCAAGAACCACCAGGAAGAGCCAGTAGGGGAGTCCCTGGTCCCTATAAACCCCAGCTTCCTTGATTGTTTCCATTCTGATCCTGCTCCAGAGGGGGCCAGTGAGTGGGGGGGGGACCAGTGAGGGAGGAGGCTCTCTGGAGCCCGACACCCCCCCCCATCCACGGTGGTCCTGCCAGTGGTCCTGCCCAACAGAAGCTGTGAAGTGGCTGGGCTTCCCCTACTGCTGAAGGGCTCAGCATCCCTCCCCATCCCAGCTCCACCCCCTCTGTTGAGGCAGAGAACAAAGCTGGGCAGGGGGCTTTGAGCTGGGCTTTGTGTGCAGGGGGCTGCAGCCTGGGCCAGGGGGTATCTCCCTGGCAAGCCTGGCTAGGGGAGGGGAGTGAGCACATACATGTGTGTGCACTTGCCTCGACTGCCTTCCAGAGCGGACAGGCCCTCCCAAGGGAGACTCAGGACTCCTAGAGTCTCAGCTCTGTGATCCCAATATAGTCACCCACATTTTGCACGCCCTCTTGCTCACCTGCACACACTCAGATACCTGTACATACCTCCAACCTGCCTGGATGTTCTCACATGGGTTCAATGCCTACCACCCACCAGCGCACAGATGTACACAGGCACCCAGCCCCGCAGCCCAAACCCTGACCGCACGGCTGAGCTCCAAGAGTTGCCTTGACCAGCGGTTCTCAGGGGCATTCTTGGGGGCTGGGAGGCTGGCAGGCATAAGATACAGTGTTCTTGGCAGGTGGGGCAGGGCCTGGTTACCTACTTGCACCTGGGTTGTCTTGCACCCAGGTGGTAAGCAAGGAAACCCCAGAGTTTTCACGCATTGGGAAGCTTGGAGGCACCTACACAGGGTGGGCTGGGCAGTCCTCTCCCCCAACCCCAGCTTTGCAACCAGAGATGGGAGGAGCCCAAGTCACAGAAAGCATCCCTGCTCTCACCTCTCTGTCGGGCTCAAGGCTAGAAGTAACAGCAGCAGCACAAAGCCCTGAGGCAAGATCTCAGGAAAGACTGCATAGCTGGGTCACTAGTACCTGCAGATCGCCCAGGTCCAGTTAAAGCAGCTCAGAAATCAGACAGCAGGAGGGAATTGGCCCTGTCCCTGGCAGCAGTGCACACAAGTAGCCCCTCCTTCACACCAGGAAGGTCTGTTGGCTCTCCTTCCTTGAACTCCTGAAACTGGGGTCCCCTGAGGCTCCACGCTGCACCCTGAACTTGAGTCTCTCCCATCCAGTCTGAGCCCTTTTACATTTTTGCGGAAGCCCAAAGCCCTCATGCCACCCTCACCCACCCTACTCTGCCTCAGTGGTCTGGCTTCTTACCTGACATTCAAAGCGCCTCCCAAACACACAACCTGGTATCCCACCACACCCCTGCAGCATGCTGTCCCCTCCCCAGGCCATGCATAATCCTGCTTTAAGCCTTTGTCCCACACCCCTTCTCTGATCCAAGATACCTGTCATACTCCATCTACTTCCAGTCATCTGAGGCCCAGAGCAAAGATTTCCTCCTCTGGGAAGTTCTCCCGGGCCCATCTGATCATGCAGGGCCCCCTACTAGACCGAGGTCTCTGAGAAGGTCTCTAGGGTCAGTTTGCTGGCTGACCCTAGCCCAGGCACAATGTAAGGACACAGCCCAAAGCACTTGTCCAAAGCCATGGGGCTTGGGGGAGAGACCAGGCTGCCCCTCCCTCCATGCAATGGAACCGGTACCCCCTGGCCTTTCTCCCCCTCCCCACTTCCTGCTGGGCCTCCAGCCTCCCTTCCCCTTCCCTCACTCTGGTGACAGATTTATTCCCTGCTCTAGACAAAGGAGCTCAGCCAGGCGGCCAGAGCCACCTGAGCCCCGCTCTCCAAGATCTCCTTCCTGGGCACTGAGGACCAGGAGGGACCGGGGGTTGGGTGCTGGGTGCAGCCTCTGCACTGCTACCTCAGCAGTTTGGTTGGGGGTGGCTGTACCCGAGAGGCAGCTGAATGCCCAGTTGCCCTGCATGGTGACCTCAAGCTTTGTGAACTCAAAGGATCCCAGCCAACAGGCAGCAGCTCCCCATCTAAGCTCTTTCCTCTGGACCCAGGGAATAGGAGATGGGGTGTTCCACATGAGGATGTCAAGCGGCAGCAGAAGTTCAAGGAGTGACCATCTTTCCTTCTCAAGCCCTTTGGAGTCTCTCAGAGCACTGCCCCCTGCCCCAAGCCTGCTCTCTTGGGGAGGGGCATTGCGTAAACCCCCAAACTCCAGGAGGCTCCCCCTTTCTCAGCCACGTTTCCTTTGTGCACCTGCCCACTCCCTGCCTCACTTTTCCTCCAACACTCCAGGCAGCGGCAGGTATTTAACCCAGACTTGGGGAGGTGCCCGGCGCTCCCTACTTGGCTCGCTCCCCGCACCCAGGGGAGGGAAACTCTCCCGCTCCAGCGCTGGGGAATCCGCCTTGGCTGTGCCCACGGGGAGTCCTCTGAGTGTCCAGCACCGCCCTCGAGCCTGGAGTCCCCGCGCTCCGCGCCCCGCGCACTCACCGGTGATGAGCACCGCGCGAGTGGCCACGGGCAGGCGTGGCGGGCGCGCCAGGCGGGACAACGCGATCCAGCCGGCGGCGGCCAGCACGGCGAGTGCGGCCGGCGGGGGCAGCAGGCGCTGGCACAGCCAGTCGAGCGCGGCCAGCAGCGCCAGCGCCGCCAGCAGCGGGCGGCCCAGACGCAGGTCTGCGCGCAGCAGCTGCAGCAGCGCGCGGGCCGCCACGAGCAGCCAGGCGCCGCCCGACGGCCAAGGCCAGCGCTCCATGGCGGCCCGGCCGGGTCGGGTTGGGGAGGGGCGGGGCGGGGCGGGGCGGGGGCCTGGCTGGGGCGCAGAGAGAGACTCGGGGCCCGGGCGCAGGGTGCAGGGGAACACCAGCCTGGGGCAGGAGGGACACTCGCTTTCTCCGCTCGCCCTCGGGCAGAGCTTTTAAAGAGCCCCAGGGGCGGGGAGAGGGCGGGGCGGGGGCGGGGCTTGCCTCCACTTCTCTCAGGCACCCCCCGTCGGGCAGGTGCCCCCCCCGCCCCTCCCCCTCCACCAGATCCGCTTGAGAAGAAGCCGGAACAAAGTCCCGAAGTTGCTACGGGAGGAGGAGCCGCCTCGCCGCGGGCCGCGCTGGAGAGGGCCGGTCGGTCCAGCCCAGCGCCGGGCCTCCGCTCACCCCCGCGCCCCCGCCCTCGCGCCCAGGGCCGCGGAGCCGCGGCTCTCAGGTGAGCACATGCAGCTCACACTTGCTCGGGACACCTGAGGGGACACGCAACCTGCATCCTGCGCCCCACATTGATTGCACCGCCTCGCTCGGTCGCCGCCGCCGCCCCTGTCCGCACACGCGCCGCACTCCCACGCGGTGCCGGCCGCAGGTCCCCTCAGGCGCGCTCTCACCTGAGCCGCTTTCGGCCACAAAACCCGCCTGGGTCGGGCCAGGGGGCAGCCTGGTGACCTCCTGGGTTCTTCACAGTCTCTGTCCCGCCTTTCCCCTTCGCTCCAGCCTTGGGGATGCACAACCCCACTTCCTGCTACACAAATGTATGTGTGTGGGGGTCGGTGAAGGGCGGTCACAGGAAGCGGCTAGGTCTCCCATTACCTCTGGCTCACCTCTCACCCCAAGAGCCAGGCCAGTGGGGACACCTGGAAATCAGTGAAGGCCACCCCTAGGATAGGATAGGCCCTGCCTTGCTCCCCTGAATCTCCAGGAGATAAAATAAGTGGTGTGAGTGTGGGTGCATTTTTCTGCCTGTGTGTATGAAGGTCCACGTTTGTGTGTGGCCCAGTGGCCCCCCCATCCTGCCCACCCCCGTGTCTGGCACCCTGTGCCTAGCATCTATGCCAGGGCTCTGGGAGGGACTGGGAGTTGCTGCCAGTACCTGGCTGCTAGGCTCTGCTGGGGGGAGTAGGTGCAGCCCATGGCAGAAGGGGTCCCTGCGTCCTGTGGGCCTCCACGCCTTGTCCCAGTGCCTCACCTCTCCCCTTTCTAGGTCCTGGGAGGTCATGACTCCTAGTCACACCTCCCAGCCCTGTTGCTCATTCTCTCTCTTAGGTGCCTAGGCTCTGTGCCAGGGCTACCTGGCAATGCCTCCTGCAAGCCCTGCCACCCAGGCTTGGCCCCATGGTGGGCCAGGGAAATCTCGGGGAGGGGACTGGAAACCAGACCCACTTAAGGGGAGAGACTGGGTGGAGGACCCATCTCCTTCCCAGAGCCACTCCTGGGGTGGGGAGGGGCACATCTATGCCTCCTCCTATAAGTACAGATGACAGGCTGGCCCTGACCCTGGAAAACCAGGTGTGTGTGTCTGACCTTGAGTACATGACCTTGTGTGCCTGTGTTTGTATGCACTTGTGTGCATGGGGCTCCATGGCTTGGCCACACCATTTACTTGTGTCACTCCCTGTGCCATGAGTCTGCCTGTGCATGTGAGTACATTTGTGTGTGTTGTGTGTTTCTGGTAGTTTTCTCTTTTTTGGTCTGGGTCATCCTGCCTTTAGAAACTTAGGGAACTTTCCAAACTCACAGACTCCTGTTGCCCTGAATGTATGGCCAAGGCTCCGGGGTAGGCACAGTGCCCTTGGCCTGGCTTCCTGATTTGAGCTCCAGAAAATGGAATGGACGGCCCCCCCACCTCTGGCCACTCCACCTCAGCCCTTGATGGGCTTCCCTTTGGGGCTGGGGAAGGGAGTAGAAGAGGTGGTGGGGGTCCTGGGGAGCCTTCAAGGTCAAAGCCAGAGTAAGAGTCGAAGGGTCAGGGATGAGGGCAGGAAGTCAAGGTGGGAGACTGAGAAGCAGGGACCTGTACTGTTCTGTGAAGGACACATGAAGGGTCCTGACTCATCAGGAAGCCCACGATGGTGAGGGAGACTGGGGGATTGCCTTTGGTTGCAGAGCATAGGGACACTGTGCCACCTGGGGCAGAACCATCAGTCTTGTGGGATTTGGGTCTGGGTGGGGCTGGACTATCTGCCACAATTTTATAGAAACTCCCCATCCTCCCATGCGTCCTCCTCAGGATCTATGCTGGCGGACCCCTTAGCCCTCATTAGGTGGAAACATTTCAGCAATAGGTGGTTTAGGCAGTCATGGCTGGGAGGGGCTGGCCCAACCCTGTCTGAGGCCTGGTGCCAGGTCGTGCCTGCCTAGGGGCAGAGAACCAGCCTCTGCCAGAACCAGGAGTATGGGTTGGCAGGGGCCTCCAGGGAAGAGAGAGGGAAGGTGGGCAGAGGGCGGGAGGCCCCGCAGATAAGGTAGGGCCTGGCAGGGCAGAGGAATGAAGGACAACCAGAAGGAGCAGAGCCCCTGAGCCACCCCGCCCCTAAGCCCTCAGCCCACAGTCTTCTTTAGTCCTTTGTCTCACCTCCCAACCCTCTTGGTCAGAAACCTGGTTAGCCAAACCCTTAGCATGCCCCAGGCACTGGAGGACCAGGGGTGGGTGGGAGGCCGGCAGGCTGGCTCCAGCCTCCTCCTGTGAAGTCCAGCGGCTCACTGGCGCCATCTGCTGGCCTTTTGGGGAAGACGCAGCTCTGAAGGGGATAAAGACTAGGCAGGAGACCGCTGGATTTGAAGATGGGGGAAGCAGAAGTCCAGGGTGGGCGTGCCCAGTGGCAGTATCCAGGAGCCCTCACGCTCTGTCCTCTGGCTATCCTGGAGTCCTGGAGCCAAGCACTCACTCACCACCTTTCCCTTCCTCCGTGGTCTAGCTCAGAGGCTACAGAGTCCCAAGGAGTCCCTCTGCCTCCCACCTGGCACTCCTACCCCTCCTCCTCTAGCAAGATGGCAGAAGGGCCCCTCTCCCTGCCAATGGCCAGTCCCTCCATCTGGGCCCTAGACTTCATTATTCCCCATGCTCAAAGAGGGCAAACTTGTATAGAGTTCCCACTGTAGGTCAGGCACTGTGCTGGGCACCGCAGAAATGACAGCTAACCACTGGCCCCTTCCCGGCAGCAAGCACGCCGGCCCTGGCCTTGCCCATTGAGAGCCTCAATCCTACACCTCTTTCTCCAAGCATCATTCTTGTACGCTTCCTCTATGCTCAGCCACATTTCTTTGTGGCTGTAATCTGTGATCACCATCGCCACTCTCCCCTCCCCTGCCTGAGCATGGGATTAACTCCTCTCCTGACCTCACCAAATGTCATGAGTCAATGACCTCCTAGAACCCAAATCTCATAGGCCCATCTCTCCCTTCAGCTAACTTGGCCTCCTCGAAGCTTCTGCCCTGCTGCCCACTCTTTCCTGTCCCAAGCCCTGTCTCCCTGTGGTGCCTATGAAGCCACTGCTGCTGCGTTTCCTACCTCACTGCCTCTCCTGCCTCCTCAGCTTCTCCTGCTAGTGGGTCAACCTCTGGCAGCAAAGGCCTCGCGCTTGGTCCCTCCTCCACCATGAGCTCATCTTCCTATTCACATACTGGCGGCTCCCCCGCCAGCTTTCCAGCCAAGGCCTCCCTGTTGACTCCAGACCCCGTGTCCAGCTGCCCCTGGACGCCTCCCTTGGACACTCAGAGGCCCCCCACATTAAGCATGTCCAAAGCTGGTCTCCTCCCCTTCCCTGGCTGTCAGCCACCCAGTCCCCACCACATCCTCAACCTTCATTCCACACACTGGCCCCCACATTTCTTGTTTTTTCCCAAGCCCTGGGTTTGGTGCAGATGCCTAAAGATAGCCTTTTATGGGAGGCATCATGATCACCATTTTTTTTTTTTGAGACAGAGTCTTGCTCTGTCGCCCACGCTACAGTGTAGTGGCATCATCATAGCTTACTGTAACCTCAAACTCCTGGGCTCCAATGATCCTCCTGCCTCAGATTCCCGAGTAACTGGGACTGAAGGCATGCACCACCATGCCTGGCTAATTTTTTCTATTAAAGAGGGGGGGGGTCTTCCTTTTGCTCAGGCTGGTCTTGAACTCCTGATCTCAAGGGATCCTCCTGCCTCAGCCTCCCAGAGTGCTAGGATTACAGGTACTACACCTAGCCATTATCACCATTTTATATTCAAGGAAACTGAAGCTTCCAGAGGCCAAGAAAATTGCTCAAGGTCTCAAAGTCCCAACATTCAAACTCAGAGGTATACCTGAACCCAAAGTCTGTGTTAATGCAGAGCCACGTTTGTCACATGTCGCCTCTTATGCTTCATTCTGAGGGCAAAGGAAAGCTTGGAATGGTCTGAGCAAAGGAGACTCCTGTCCCAGTTGGCCAGGAAATAGATTTGGAGAGGAGGGGAGGCTGGGAGTCTTGTTGCTGCATCCAGATGAGGGACAGAGCAGTCTGTCCAAACAAGCTGAGTGGAAGATGCCCATGGACATGCAAGGGCTGAGCCCAGAAGCGGCTGGGTGCTCTTGGTCTCCAGTACATCGCTCATGTAGCATGGGGAGCCCTGGAGGTTATAACTCATCTCCGCATGCCCTAGGCGTGAACTGAAACCCCCCATTTTTCAGAGGTGTCCTATTTAGTCTGGGCATCTGGAAATCAGGCCCTTCCATTAGGGAACTGAAGGAAATCTCCCCTTTGGTGGCTTGGAAGAGGGGACAGTAAGATGCAGGAAGCCAGGGACACCCTCCTCTGAACTTCTTTTACTGTCTCCAGGATGGAAGGCAGGTGTTTGGAGACTGGGGTTGTTGAGTTTGGGAAACACTGAGAGAATGTGCTCTGCAGGGGTTTCTGGACCAGTCCCTGGGGGAAAAGCAAGCCCCAGCTGGGAGCACTTGAGGGGAGAGTCAGCTGACTCTGATTGAAATCCCTTTAGGGTCTAGAGTCCAGACCTTCAGTGTGGCTCTGAGTTA